TATGTGCTTGAGGAATTACCTCAGCATTTGGTACCCCACAGTGTGGGAAGGTCATGGCACAGATACACACAGTTCACTACTACCTGGTCCTCGCTGTTGGTGGCGGGCGGGTTTACATTAGTAACCATTCATGCTTTTACAACTGTGCCTGTTATAAACTGTATTCTTATTTAGGGGGTTACATAGGGGAATGGGTAGGGAAAGCACTCACTGGTCATTAGCAAAATGGAAACACAACACCCCATGACAGTCAAGCTTAATACAGTGCAGAGGAAAGGGTGCCTGCTGCCAAGGCAGGGGTTTGACAAAACCAGGGTCACTGTAGAGTCAGAGAATCACAAACTTCAGCAAGGCTGCAGAATAAATAAACTCATGAGCAATACAAGAGAGAAGTGTCAATAAACACCCCTCACCCTTCACTCCTGCCCCAAGAGTGGGTTTTACTTACCTGGCCAAAAAGGAAGCAGACAAAGATGAATCAACCAAGTGTTTGCCAGTGAACCACTTTATTTAAAGCCCTGTGCCACTCATTCAGAATAGCCTGGCCAAGGCCACTGAATTTGTCTTTTAAGCTGCTCCTGACAAGAACAGTTCAGCTTTTAGCAAGCAGCACCTGTGAAATTACTCAAAGCTGAGGACTCATTGCTGATGAAAGCTGACCTTGCAGTAAAAGAAAACACCCACAGGGCTGGTAGGGCCCAACACAAGCACACTGACACCTGGCTTTAACCCCCCCCCCCCCCCCCCCCCATCACTCCTCAGGTTTGTGGCTCACACTGCTGGGTTTGTCCCACCACTGCAACCCTCTGCACTGGGAACAGGGGAATGCTTTTTGCTCTCTCTAAAAGCAAACCAAGCAGCTGCTGCTGGCACTATAACACCTCCACTAAGGCCTGGGACCATCCAGGCTATTGTACCAGCTTGAGTAATACTGGAACAGCCCCAGGAGTCAGAGTGCTTAAAAGCTTGCACTGTTTGCAAATCATCATACTATAGTTGTAACGCTACTGAAGAGGCCCAATGAACATCATCCCATTTTAAAAACAAACCCTCTCATGCATTACAGAATGTATCAAGTAAAAACCATCAGCAGATAAAACTCAGCTGCACCAGCAGGGCTGTGGCTACTGCTCAGGGCAGCGGCTGAACGTGTTTCCTACTCAGAGCTCAAACTGGGCCAGCAAATATTTTGGAAATCACTGCCAGAAGCTAGGAACAGAACAGAAAGGTGAAACCCAACAAATCGGCCACTGCTCCACTTCCCTGCCAGGATCCCGAAGCACCCATCCCATGGGCACGGACAGGCTGTGAAAGGCATCCACACCAATTCAGCTGCTCTCCAGCTCCTGATCATCCCTGGAGTAGCCGGTGTGGGACCAGACACCTGCAATTGTAAGAGCTGGGACCAGTGCTGTGAGCTGGAGCGGGTGGGGGATCTTACCTGAAGAGGTGGATTTGTATTGGCGATTCCCGTCACTCCACAGGAAGGCTGAGCCTGAAACGTGCCCTCCTGAGCCATTGCACTGTTTGCCAGCTGAAAAGCTGGGGGCTTTTTAATGGCTTAAGTCAACTGAAATACTTGCTTGATACTTTTGAACACTGGGATGGGTTTGGGGTTGGTTTTTCGGGGGGGATTGGTGGGGGAAAGTTGTTTGGCTTCTTAACCGCCCTCCGCAGATGCTCCAGGCAGGTTCCTTGGGGACACCTCGGGAGTGCTGGTGCAGCCCCAGAGCATTCCCTGCTCCCTCTTACCTGCCCCAAGGGGGCGATCTGTTCTCCTGCAGTCTCACTTTGTTCCTTCCCAGGGTAAAACTGATGCTGAAGGCTGGCCAGAAAGGAGACAGAACCATCAAATAACTCAGGCCTTTGTTTCTCACTTACCTGGGGACCACAGTTTCTGAGCCTCAAATGATGTCCCACTCTGTGGGCAACCACATAACACCCAGACTGGCTCAGCTGAGACAGGCAGAAAGAACACAGGAGATGGGGGTTATGATGTGGTGGGGATGGGGGAGGTGACAGAAGTGAATTGCATGGGCAGAGTCATGATGCCTGTGAGAGCACCCTCCAGTAGAACCATGCTGGAGGCCACCAGAGTGGCCACAGAGGCCCTGGGACAGCAGGCTGACATGCAGATAGCAGTAGCAGGCTACAGAAGTCCAAGAAGGTGTCAAGTGTAATCATGACTTTTATCATGGGCCTACTTGTTTGCCACATACATGCAAAAAGAAGTACTAAAAAGAAGGAAACAAACACCAGCACCAAGTCAAGTCGTGTAGCAGGCTGGTCTTAGCAAAGCCCCTCTGCTGTCCTCTCTCTCCCACACTCTCCTATCATGGGCCAGCAGTGAAATAAAGGTTTAACATGGCCTTAGGGCCCCCAGCCCTTCCCATCACCCTCTCCACCGTGCTGAATCAGAGCCACAACACGGAGAAACAACATTTGGGAAGCAGAAACTAATCATTGTATGTTGCATAAATGGTATGAACTGTTTCTGGCAAGGCTGCATCTGTCCCTATCCCCTGCTTTTTCCCCACCAAGAAAAGCTTTTATTGTTATTACACACAGAAAGTCTGTACAAACTGCTCCCTGCAAATCACCTGCAAAATCACCTGCTGCCTTGCAGCAACAAGACAACGAGTCATGGTTTCCTTTCAGGCATGCCCACAGCAATCTGCTTTTGTCCCTGTCCCTGTACAGGGCATGTGTTGCTGTGCCTCATGCAAGGACCTTGTGCAGAGCTGAACAGAGGAATTACAACAAAGGAAACCTTTTTTTTTTGCCACAGAATAGAAATGGTCCTGTTTTTTCAGACCTTTGTACCTACGTGTGTTCCTAGCAAGGCTGGTACCAGGACTGGGGAGAGGATGGGAACAGGGGAGGGCAGGAGGGACGAAGACGTGACTGCACTGCATGAGAAGCAAACCCATCTCTTCTGTGCCCTGCTGCTTTGGCACTGGTGCCTCCTCAGCAGCTGAACCACAGCTGAAGGCACCTCGCGCTGCAGCACGGCACAGGGAGGGAGGCACGCTCCAGAGCAAACAGACACAGCTCCAGCGAAGTCCTGCTGGCCCCAATGGGCCCCAACTGATCAAACACCACAGTGGGCAGCAGCAAGTGGTCCTGTGCACCACTGCCTCTGAGGAGCACAAACCTGGGGATGGAAATGCCCTGCCCTTCACTCCTCCTTTGCTATGTATGGGAGTAGCTTTCCAGAGGTGAGTTATTTCCTTCTTCTGTTACCTTCTACCATAGCAGATGGCACGACTGGGCTCCCTACTTGATAGCTGCGCTGAACGGCACATCATTGCTTTGTGTTTCAAAGCACTCATGGCACCCCTAAATCCTGTCAAACTATAGTTAATGAACATGTACTTAATATGACTTGGTGCTGAATAGAATCATAGCATGGTTTGGGTTGGAAAGGACCTTAAAGCTTATCTAACAGTGATGTCTGTGTGTTTAGTTTTTTAAGAGGGTATAAATAATAAAAAAACACTGGTTTGTCATCATGGCATTCAGTAATTCAGTACTGCAAATATATGAATAGCAGCTTTTTCCCATTACTGGTTTCAAACCTGCTCCTTTCCTTCTCTAACTGCTCTCTCCTTTTCATCAAATGGCTCATGGAGAGAATCCAAAAAGGACACCCATATGAAATACAAGTGTTCTGGAGTATTCTTTGCCAAACTGCCAGCAGAGGCTACAACAGCTAATGCAGGCAGCAGGGGCTCGATGGAGGACAGGTGGCAGAGGCCATTGGATTAGATCATACTCCAGTTAAAGACAGAGCATCTCAGATTTCTAATGTCTACTTAAATAAATTCCTTTTCCTGGTTTCTAGACAGGAGAAAACTAATACAGGAACCACCACTGAAATAAATGGCAGTCACCACATTCTGTCATAGTTAAATCTTTAAGATTATTTAAAAGCAAACTGTAATCTTTTACAGTTATGTGAAGTTATGTACAGTTGTGTACAGTTATGCACAATTATGTACAGTTATGCTCCTGTGAGGAGAAGGGAGTTGGACTTGATGATCCCCGTGGGTCCCTTCCAACTCCAGATACTCTATGATTCTATGTCAGTCTTACCCAAAGGCCACCCTGCCTGCAGAAGTCCCCAGCCTATTTCTGTCAGGGCTCCTCTCTGCTGCAAGTCTGCACTTCCTAAGATGTGCTGAGGTGAGTTACTCAGCTGAACTGGATGTGTTGGGGGGGATGTGCGCACACACACACACATGGGCACTTGCCCACGAGCGAAGCCCCATCCTGCTGTGCAGTGTGGCCCCTGGGACCTGAGGATAGAGCAGGGCAGCAGGAAAGGAGAAATTGTTCAAGAAACATTCTTGTCTGAATTTGCTGATTTGCTAAAATCAGTGTTTGGTGGAGCAGTGATAGCTTCCAACCAGGACCTGGGGACCACGAGCTCCCCAGGACCCCAGCAGAGGTGATATTAGCCCGACATAGACATGAAATGCTTGCATATCTGGGGCAGACAGATTGCGTGTGCTGCCATTAGATGTATTGTCTTAGCCAGAAGAGAGACAGGAGGTAAGAACTTTCTTTCTCTACCGCTTTATCTGCCCTCTGCAGGATTGCCAGATTATGCAGAAACACCAAGCAGCAGACAGTGAAATGTTTGCATTGCATTTGCATTGTTTACAGAGAAGAGTAAAACATGTTCCTTTTGATTGAATGTACTTATAACCGTGAGGGAGAAAACACTCATGCATGGAAGGTAGCAGTAACCACTGAATAATTTCCAAGTGCTGGTCCACAGCATGCTTCTACCACGGCCTGAGCTGGCCTCCAAGTCCTCAAGGGCAGCAGGAGAACTATGAGCTAACCCTGGCAAGCCCTGGCTTGCCCACAGTAATACACTTACTGACTTCAGGGAACAGGGCTCAGGCCCAGCAAGCATGCCAACATGTCACTCCAAATGGTCCATGGATTTATTAAGTCAGCTTTGGTGAGTGCAAAGCTGTGCATATCTGTGAGGCTGGGAGTGATGGATCGTTCTGGCTGGAGGAGGCCTCAGGTGTCCTGCTGAGCATGATTGCTGCTCTACCCTCAGCCCTGTGGTCTCCAGGTAGTTTAAGCTCAGTGGGGTTCCTGTGGAGTCTTCCTGCACGTGTGGCTGTGTGACAAGGAAAAATGGCTCAATCTCAGTAACTTTACTGTTCCTGCACCATAAAAGGAGTTTGGTTCTTCTGATGGGTTTTGCAGCCAGGCAGATCTGCAAAGAAGCTTGCAGGTGGCTTAAAGTTGTGCATTTGCTATGTAAATCAATACTGGCAGCTATTTGCTTTGCAGCACAGAGGCTGAAACACCTGAGGCTGTGAAGGCTCCCCAGGCACTGCAGAGGTCTGCCTCTGCTCCCTTCATCTCAACCAGGCTGGTAAGACCAACAGCAAGCTTTCACCTCCTGACAAGCACCAATTTGTTCTCAGCAAAAAACTCACTGCTCCAAGTGACCCGTACCCACAGAGCAGCTTGGCTTGTACCTGTCCATTACCTCCCTGACCAGCATGCCTGTGGGAAGAGCATTAGGCAGCCAATCCCTTAATGCTGTAGATGGGGGATTCTGGTGCATGGGGCTTGCACCCCAGCACTATGGCCAGGCTCAGCAGGCTTTGCTGGGAGCACACGGGTCTGAACTCTGGGTCTGGGCAATTCAGTCTTTCTCTTCTTACCACATTTGTTACCCCATCACCCCTGGCTAAATGTGATGGAGAAAGAGAGTGCATTCTGGTGAGCAGAAAGGATCTCAAAGCATCCAACCACTAAACACAGGAGAGAGGATGGAGATATTAAACACCTAATTAATTCAACTGATTGACTGCGCTTCGTATTTCATTGGAATCCATGTGCTCTTCTGAATCTCTGTTTGTAAATGGGGTAAAGACCCATCAAGCTTTAATGGTGTGGAAGAACTTTACAAGGTGGCTGTCTGAGAATGCAATAGTTAAAATAAGTTAGACTCCAAATTTAACAGGGCTCTGAATAACGAACTATTCAGAGGTGGGTACCTTTGTACAGGGAAGCAGCTTCGTTTCAGTCAAATATAGAGGAGAAACAATGGAGCATGTTTCCTGTCACATTAGAAAGATTCCATAGCTTTTAATAAAGACAAAAAGAAGAGGAGTAGGTGAATATTTTAGAAGCTATTATTCAAATATCACAGTTTCAAATGGTATCTACAGTAACTTAAGACTAATTTTGAGGAGTAGCATCCATAACACAATGGACAAGCTACGTCTCCAGCAGCTCCTTTCAAGTTGGAGAGCAGAGGGAAAATTTGGAGGCCCTGGATGGTACAATGGTCTCAGCCATCCCAGTCTTCACTGCCTTTCTGAATAACACAATGTGCTTGCAACCCCATCAGCAGAGTGAGGACTGGAGGGAGTTCAGATTAAAACTGGAAGGCAGGCAAAAGATGGCACGCTTTGACTAAGCTTCCCTGGCAAACCAGTGCCAACAAATAAATCTCAACCTTCTGATCCCCAGGAGCAGGCAAGCATCCTGTATTGCAGCACAATACCACTGCAGCCTGGGGCTTTGCTTACAGTCTGCACCGAAGAGGAGGAGGCAGGGGAATGTCACTCAAGTCCTACGTCACTCATCAAACCAACACAGATCAACTCGCAGAAGCTGGTGACAGCATTAACATTCAAAGACCTGCCAGGAGAACATGAAAGGGTGAGAAGTGGGGTTTCTACACTGCTAAGAAGGTGTTCCTGCATAAAGGGGAAGAAACAAAGAAACAAAGACAGGGAAACAAAAATGCAGACCTCTGCCCATGACATCCTGCGCTGTTTTTGGCCTGGGTAGAGTTAATTTTCTGCACAGTAGATAGTATGGGGCTGTGTTCTGTATCTCTGCTGGAAAGTGTTGAGAATTGAGGAATGGTTAAACCATGACACATCCTATTGAGCTTAGAGTCCCTGTTGTCAGACCTGATAGCTGGATGAGAACAAATGGGAGATTGCCCTGAATTGAATGATGTTTTAACTCATTCAGCAGTGCAGGTATCTTGCTGGTTTCACACCGTTCTCTCAAAATCCACCTGCACACCACACTGCTGCAAAGCTGCAGTGAGATCCCACAAGATTGCCCTGGGATGACAGAGAGCAAACCCAGCCACCACCATGCTCTGGGCTGCGTCACCAGGAGAAATGTGCCTGTCTTGTCCCTGTGCCGTGCCTCAGCCCTATCTGCTCCCCTTGGCAGAAGCAGCTTTCATATCCCCTTGGGCAGGTTTCTCACCTGCTCTCTGCTGTGTGAAACCTTTGACACATGCTGGTTTTCCCTTCTGGGAAGCTCCCAACTGAATGAACCCCAAGTCTGAGGGGGAACAAGCCTGAACAGGCAAAGGTTCACACTGAAGCAAGTCAGTGGCTGGGACACCACCTGGTTCACAACTGCCCTGATCATGTTGTCTTTCCCATCTGCAGAGCCTCCCTGCTCTTCTGCTGTTTAAGAGAGGTCTTACACCTGTTTAGGGCACCCCAGCAGGGTTTGGTGGTAGCCTAGGTTTTGGAGTAAGCATGGAGGTGCTAATACCACTGGAGGCAGGAGGAGATCACTGCCACAGCCCCTTTGCAAGTCCAGCTGGAGATCAGAGAAGATTGCTGTCTTGAGGAAAAGAAACCATTTGCTCTTCATCCGTACCGCTAATGACAACAGAAACTAGATTTATTCTTACCTTCCTCTCAGTGCAGACAGCCTTCTGAAACCATCCGAGCACACACCTCTTCTTGTGGTTGTCACTGGCACAAGCTTCACTGTGCCTGCCAAACACATCATTGTAAAACTCATTTCTTCTCCTGCCTCATTTGTGGCAGGAGGCTGGGATTGCTGCTAAGGACTACCACAGGGGCCTCTGAGGACACTACCAATGCAGCACAGCCAGAGGCTTTTCTTCAGCTACCAAGAAATGCATTTCTCAAGCCCAGTGGTGTATGGGACATTACCCCAAATGAGAATTTCTGCAAGGTACAGTGCCTTGTGCATTGGAGGACCTCCAGGTTGAGCTGAAATAAAATCTCTCCCTGGCTGAAAAGCACAAGGGCCTGGACTCACTCAGCAACAATGGAAATCTCTATGGCCACCCAGGGAGAAGGGAAATGACTTTGCAGGGTTCTTGGCTTTCCCTCTTCCCGGTCACACCATCTAGCTCACAGAGACTGCAGCAAATTCATCCTCACTTTCAGAGGGCTTCTCTGTCTGGAGGCAAGAGGCTGAACAAAGCCTGCCTTCAAATGCCATACGCCAGCTAGAGGAACGGATAAGGTGGTCAGGGACCAGCAGTCCCATAAGATTCAGCTGCCCTGAACCAGCAAATGCTGGGTTGTCCCCATCTTCCCTTGGTCCATGCTGTGGGCATGACTGCTCCTCCTTGTGGTATTGTCCCCACTGCTACACTCCTGATCCTTACCTCTAACCATGCTCTGTCCTATTCCTGCTGCATGGAGGCGACAGCCTCTCTATGGATGCACAACACTGGTTTCTACCACTGCCCTCCCTGTGAAGGAAGGAGCCAGAGCTACACCCTTCCTCAAAGCCCCTTTGCAACACGGCATCCACGCAGTCTGCAGTGTGCTTGTTCACCCCACATGACTGTGTGTCAGCAGACATCACCGCTGTGTACCATCCATGCTGTAAGCTTCCTCACTTCTTTCTGGACCTCAACATGAAGGAAATAAAAGACAAATTTAGGACACTTGACGTAAAATTGGAAGCTTTCTGGTTAGACAGGGGCACTGACAACTCAGTCCTCTTGTTCCCACACAACCCAGCCTGAAAAAGAGCAAGGGGTGACTCTTCAACTTCCTTAACAGTGCAAAACCTACGGAAGGGATGAGTTGTACAGAATCCAGAAGAACAGAGATTGCAACGAGTCAAATTTGCTGATAATACACTACTTGCAAAACAAGCTTCTGCTATTCCCCTCTTGACACAGCGTCTGTTGCCTACTAGGGCAATCATATCCAAGTGTAATTGTCTAACAATTGTTCGGCACTGAGAAAATAGTTCTGATTACAGGCATTAACACGTTTAGGCATTAAGCTTCCTCACTGTAATTACCCTTGAGCTTAGTCTCGCAAATGAATTAATGTGCTGATCGCCTGGACTAATAGAACCAGCAAAAGGGTGATGAATTGCTTCCAAATCAGATAAAATCAAGCGTGACATCATTTAATTAATTTCAGGGCTTGGAGCGAGGAGAAAGGGGGTCAGCATGATGCTGAGAAGAAATGCATCTCTCCCTTAGTGATTTCTTTGGAGACAGAAAGCCTCAAATAGGGGAGGATGGGGCTGGGGAGAGGGAAGGTGCACACCAGGTGTGAAAGGGGTTGCTGGAGATGGGGCTGTATTATTTCAGTGTATGAGCATGCAGCAGCATGTGGTACAGCTGATACAGGTGCAATGGATGGATTTCTGGGTATGAACAGATGCACTGCTCACCTTCTTCTGATTCCGAGTCATTCTCCAAGCACCAAGACCCATGTGGAAACTCTGTTCCTCCCGCAAGCAGAGGTGGCTCTTGGCCTTCCCCAGGGTCACAGTTCCCCCATGGGACCTGAGTGCCTGAGGATGGCATTGCCAAAAAAACACTGTCCTTCGTTCTGTTTCTGGGTTGGGATCATTTGCCAGGCTGTCAGCACAAGGCCGCCATCAGCCAGGATCTGGGCTGGCCATTGCTACTGCAAGCAGATAGACTGTTACCCTCCGTGACTTCTCCCCTGTGAAGGACCTCCTGACAGTGCTCATTTTAGAAAGGAACAAAAGGGGTCGATGGAAAGGACATGGCAGGGCTCTGGGCTGCTGCTGCTGCTAAGTACAGACTCTCTCAAATTAAAGCTTCCCCTCGGATGGCTGCCCACCTGTAAAATACAATGGCATCATAGAAGGAGTTTGTACCTGACAGGGTTACAGGCAGAGCTGTTACCTTGCAGCTCAGCAGGCAGCAATCCACCACCTATTTCAGATGTTGCATCACACAGACATCCTACACAAAGAGCCACCAAGAGAGAGCGCCTTGTAAATCAAAGGTCTCCATCACAGCTTACACAAAAGCAGAGTAGCTTTTACATATACATCTGGGGATGCACCCTTCACAAAGACACACAGTCCTGCACTTAGGCCAGTTGAAACATATGTTGGCAGCACACAGACACATATCTGCTGCCTACAGACAAACAGGCCCTGACCTCTCCTAAGTAAGTGTAGAAGCAAATGTTAACATAAAATGCATGTGCATGGATGCACGCAGATTATAACAATACGCAGCCAAAACATATAACCCTGGGCCTGAGGACAAGGATCATCTTGGAACATCACTGCTGACTTCAGCAGAAGCTGCATAGGGCCCACAATATTTTGCTGCCTGTTTTGATCTATATTTGATTTAGCTGAGTTTTGGAGCAGTGGAGGGAAGGAGGTGATGAGACCTGTGAAAGCTAAAGTTGAAGATAAGGAACTTTTCACTCTCGAAAGTGTGAAGAGTCAGCACGCTTTATCGCAGAGCCTGGCTGCCCCTTTGACAGCAAAGGAGAGGAAACAGGAAGCCAATTCCCTGTTGTTGCTGAGAACGATAAACTCTGGAGCTTCCCTGCGACAAGACTGTTTCTTGGGCTCTGCCAGAGATCACAGGTCCAGCAGCCCCATATCAACACCCTCTGGCAGCATTTGTCATTGTCTTGGATATTTTAATTCATCCAGTCGCCCTGGGGACAGTGCAGCTTATGACTCCATTTGTTTGATGCAGCCTTACAATAAATCCGGTTAGTGGAGCAGAGAGTGCAGGTTACAGTCACTGAGATATAATATAGATTCCCTATTTCCAGAACCTCATCCTGCAATGCATCAGGCACCTCCTGAGATGCCAACAGCTCTATTTCCCCATTCTATAAATGAGAACCAGCACACAACAGCAAAGAGCACCAGCAGCCAGGCACTAACTTCCACGCATGCAACGAGTTTGAAGGTCCTGATTTTCCTTTCCTAATGGTGATCTATACATATTACTGCAGTCTCACCACTGGCACCTTCACAGGCAGACAGAGATGAAGCTGGTCCTGGAAAACACCCAACTGTCCCTGCCTTGTCCATCCAGCATATCACAGAGATGCCAGTTCTGATAGCTCTGGAGGTGCTGAGGGTCCTACTGTGCTCTTGGTGAGAGTAGCTCATCACACTTGTCTTTCTCCCATGCTAATGAACACATGGTGCACATGCTAGGGCCCAGTTTCTTTCAAAAACAAACCCAAAGAAACACTAGATCCAAATGGTGCCACATGTTCACATAATTGGCACTGACATCTTTTGCACTGCTGGAGAAGCAGCTCTGCACTTTGTGGGCAAGACAGCTTTAGGGATACAGAGAGATGGAAGGGGAAGCAACAAAGTGGTGGCTGAGAACTGACTTTTAAAGGCACGTAACCCTCCTGTCAAGGTGGGATGAACTTAGAACCCGTGGGATTTATGCATCTGAGCATCATAAGGGATCTGGGGCTTTTCCAGCACTTCAGCTCTCCAGGTGTAAAGAAGTAGGAATAAAATAATCCCCTGTCCCTGAGGGATGCTCTGTGTGGAGAGGTTTATGAAATGCTCACAAACTGTGCTTCAGGGAGGGTGCTCTTGTCAGCATCTTGCAGGGGTTTCTTGGCAGCATGACAATGTCATGGCACTCTCTAAGTGCAAGAGAGGGATTTGCTTTTACAGTATAACTTTTGCCAAACAATTAAGATGAAGAGCAATACTTTAAGTATTAAACACACGGAGTAAAAAGAAATGTTTAAAAGGCACACAGTTGGGGTGGGTTTTTATGAGTATAGATGTTGCTCTGCATGTTACGGTAAGAATTCTTGCCTTTACTGATCATAAGCTTCAATGCAAACTGTGCAATTATTACCAGGGACTTTCTTCTTCTCCCATTATGTATTACCTGCACCTAAGAGATCCAGAATTGAAAGGATCTATGCTTTCTTAACTTAACAGTTGTTTGTAGGACTTGCTCTGTATGTTTCTTATTTTACTTTTGTCATAATTTAACATAGTCTGAGATAGATAAAAATACAAAAAGATATATAAAAATGCATTATGCACTTGTTGCCCAGTGTCGTTGAAACCTGCATCAAACTCAAATGATAGGGAAAGACAAGAAATCACACTGTGCTCCACATACCTTTTTCCATTTCCACAGGACTCCTTTAATCACTTCCCAGCCAGAACGTAAGGTACTGGAGACAACCTCCTCTAACCTCTGCTGTCATCCAACCCACAGATATCAAATGGAAGGCATCACAGAAGATGCCATGGAGCAAAACCATCCAGTCTCTTGCCACATGGATACTCCTTTCCTGTAGTCTCCCCAAAGCCCATTGCAGGTGGGGTACTTCCTGCACTTCCTTGTTTCAGGAATATAAAACCAAAATAGGCAGCGATCTCTGAGGCCCTGGTCCTGACCCCAGACCAAGACACCACATGGTTTCCATAACATCCTCATAGGCAAGCCCAGAGAGTGTGGGATGCACAAGCAGACAGTGACAGGGATTGAGAACTGGCTGAATGGGAGGTCTCAGAGGGTTGCGATCAGTGGTGCAGAGTCTGGTTGGAGACCTGCAGCTAGCAGTGTCCCCCAGGGGTCAATACCGGGTCCAGTCTTGTTTAACTTATTCATCAATGACTTAGAATCATAGAATCATGGAATAGTTCGGGCTGGAAAGGACCTTAAGATCATCCAGTTCCAACCCCCCTGCCATGGGCAGGGATGCCTCACACTAAACCATGTCGCCCAAGGCTCTGTCCAACCTGTCCTTGAACACTGCCAGGGATGGAGCACTCACAGCTTCCCTGGGCAACCCATTCCAGTGCCTCACCACCCTTACAGTAAAGAACGCCTTCCTTATATCCAATCTAAACTTCCCCTGCTTCAGTTTTAACCCGTTACCCCTTGTCCTGTCACTACAGTCCCTGGTGAAGAGTCCCTCTCCAGCATCCTTAGAGATTCTCCTCAGCAAGTCTGATGATGAAATGAAACTGGGAGGCGTGGCTGATACCCCAGAGTGCTGTGCTGCCATCCAGAAGGATCTAGAGAGGCTGGGGAGATGAGCAAAGAAGAACCTTTCAAAATTCAGCAAAGGCAACTGCAGGAGGTGCCTGTAGTCCCCTGGAGTACTGTGTCCAGTTCTGGGCTCCCCAGTACAAGAGAGACATGGAACTCCTGGAGCAAGTCCAGCAAAGGGCTATCAGAATGAGCAAGGGTCTGGAGCATCATTCCTACAAAACTAACTTCCCAAGACAAAACCTATTGGAAACACAGGCTTTGGCACTACCACCAAATGCAATAGCTGGGGGGGTGATGTGCTGGACCTAGTCTTTGGCTCAAATCATATGGGGGAGGCGGGGGGGTGTGTGGTAATCTGAATTCTTAGTTAATCTGGATTTGGAGTCATGTCCTAAACCATCGTGAGACCTGGGGATTGTGTGCAAGCCCTTCCTTAGGAAGTCTAGGAGGAAATGCCCCCAAAACACAAGAAAGCCACACTGAACGCCAGGTCCTATCCTTGCAAACACAACACACAGTGTTTGCATTTTTGCGTGTGGTATGTTAATATTCATGTATTTATATGCTGCCAGCCTTGGGAGCAAGCAAACGTCCTCCAACTGCGCCTTCAGGCT